ACAGTGAACATGGGGGGAGAAATGCCATCAGACCACGAGGTTCCTGCACTCTTCCCTCACGTCCTCACAATGCACAGGGCTGCTCAGGAGAAAATGGGGAACTTGATGAGGGATTATAAGGCAGGCCACTAACCTGTGAGGTCCAGCAATAATTAGAACTACTACACAGAACACAAAGATCAATATCTTCATATGGTGAGATGGAAAACCCATGAGTACTGCTACATGTACTCCTGTTTATACCAATTTAAACATTTCAGTGAATACACTAGTCTTTGGCAAAAGCAAAGCTGTCATACAGTGCTATGAGGAAGGCAAGCGGGTTGGTTTGCAGCTCTGTAATTTTCTTGTTGCCCTTATTGTTGGGGCTGTTGTTGTAGCTGATGTTGTTTTGATTCAACTTATCTTTACTGTATCAGTTTCAAAATGTTCTTGGTACACTATTTCATGAATTACAACACAGGCATAAACATCAAGCATAGTGATTTGTGGTTCTTTAAGGTGAAAGGCACTTTATTAATGGAGCAGGCTATACATTTTTCTTTGCTCAGCCAAGTGGTCAACAGAGAAAAAGCTTTTTGCCTAATGCTCCTGCATGAATTTTAAACAAAGGCTAGCATTTTCTAGAATTAATTTTTTTAAGTCAAAATACATTTTAAAAAATCTTTTTTTGGAATGACTATTATTATACTAGCTATGCACACTATGATTTGTTTTCTACAACACTTGTACATATAGAATGGCCCAGGGGCTTTCACATGATATTAATAATAAGACAACATCTATGTATTAGTCTTTGGCATGAATTTTTTTAGAGCCTTTATTTTCTTCTCAGATAGGCTATCAAACGCAGAGCTATTTTTCCATCTCAGTTGACTTCTGGTTTTGTTTCAGCGGTTGCAAACCAGAGTGTAGGAGGGAAAAATGGGTTGTAGCACTCTAGGCCACTGAAGCAGTTCTAAAACATGGAAAATCTGATTATCATTATGCCATCACCTCTGGGTGTTCTACAAAAACAGTGCCCAACACCAGGGTGCGAAGAACAGGTGATTAGTACATAACTTTTTATATGAGAGAGAAACTTTTTTTTCTATTAAAATGATCAACTGATGAAACGGCCGGGCACATCACTGAGGAGAGGCATCTCCTGTCAATTTCACAATTGTCACCTGTAGCTACCCTGTAACTACCTTCACACCCACTTTGACTTTTGCCACTAAAACGTAAGAAACATGTTGTAAAGTCTCTCCTCCGCTCTGTGCTTGAAACTATAAACCAGCCCTTCTCGACGTGACTCCTAACTCCTACTCCACACTTGCAAACACTGTGTGTGCAAGAGACCAGTGAATTACTCTTCCCAGAAATACCAGTTAAGGATGGTATAGACATTGCTCAAGAAGCACCAACTCAGTGTGAGGTTCAAATGTTTGGGGAGCGGGGACATGGGGAAAAAGTGATTCTGGGGCAGAAAGAGGTTTACTATAAAACTCAAGTGAGGCATGCAGGCAGCCTCTACCAGAAAGCATTATTCCACCCACTCTCAAAGCAAGAGGCTTGTACTGTGCGCTCTTAATATCTATTTCCACGGCAAATACAGGTATTTAATTTTCACCTCTCACCCTCTACACAGGGAATACACTGCATGCCGTTTGCTATATCTATTTTTCTATTCGTTATTATATTTATCACATTTATGTGAAACTGTCTTAAAAATTCAGGCTGCTCATATTTCAGCAATCAATCAAAGCACAGCTGGTTCAAAACTGATGACTGATTTTTCCCCCACTAATCCCTACATTTAAAAGAAATCCACAAAGAAGTTTATTTTTGATACAACAGGAACATTAAAATAAACATTCATGTATTCATTCAGCACAATTTTCTTCAATAAAGTACAGAATCTTTCAGGGAAATGCTGGTTTAGTCAATGAACTCCAAATTACTATTTCTACCATAACTGTCCTTCATTTTTAGCTTAAAAATATTTATGTCCCTAGTGACATTATTTACAAAATAAAAATATATATTGTTCAGAGAATTTATAATATTCCCAGTAATCAGTGTATCATACATGTTAGGTAAGAGTCATAATACTAAACAATACTCAAATGCCTAACAACCATGAGAAGATTCTAAGTTTCTTTCAAATTCTGTAGAGTAAAACGTCCCAGAGCTCCAAGGACAATGGTATGCTTAAGCCTCAGTTAACATTTGAAAAACTAAGGGAATACAGAATGAATTGTTTAAAAATATATTGCTACTAAAAGAAACACAAATAAAAAATCTGTATCTTGTTACAGTGTACCAAGGACGGTACATCATTATGAATTATGATCAGACATTTACCAAATGTAAGCTTTGCATAAACAGTGGCCATCGAACATTATCAGAAAATGGAACATGGATGAAAGAAAAATCCAATTAGAAATATGCTACACCAGCACAGAAGCTAGTAATATTAGAGTTGAATTTCAAACAGTGACAAAATTTACTTGGATACTTAAAACACAGAATTTACAGAGTTGCCTCAATATGATCACTTAACATTATGCAATCTGTTGTCATCTATGGAAATCTATACATGGTCAATCAAAATTTATAAAATTTCACCATGATATGCTCACACATAAAAAGCCAAAAAAATCAAAACTTATGTATGAATGGTAATTATAAGACATCTCCTGAGTTAAAAAATATTTCAAGTTTCTAAAAATGATATAAAGTGAAATAAAGCTAACCCCATTAAATATTACTACATCCAATTAAAACACTGTATCCACTTGAATTCCTAGCTTCTAGAAGTTATACACTTTCTCACTGACCTGATAACCTTAAAAAGTAAAATTTCATGGATTGCACTGCTAGGTTAAGAATTTCAGGGCTAGCAAATCTGAGTAAGATGTAGAAAGATATTTCTAAAACAACTTAGTTTTATTAGATCAATGGCAAAACTACAAGGTAAAAATAGTTTTAAACACAAACATGTGCCTTTCCATAACCTTGGATCATTCTTGGAAAGTCTGTAAGAAACCAACGCTACGATAGTTCTCTTCCTTACTTCCAGAACCCTGTAGCAGTTCAAATTACCATTAACAGGCCTGGAGAGAGTCTCAGAGCTTGAAGCTAAAAGCCAACTAACTAACTGGAAGATTCACCACCCTCAAGATGTGTAAACTGTGGTCCAAGAATATTAAGTGATGAGCCCACAGTTACATAATTGGTTAGACTCCTATGATTATGTTAGGATTCATCACTAATTTAGAGAGCAAATTATAAATAAGTAAACATTCCTGCCATTTTACCTTTGGCAGAGGGTTTTCCTACATTTAAATTTGATGGTTTTACTCACTCTGGGTATTTGTTTGGCTGGTATTTACAACTTCGGTGTCTACATACATAGATAACTGAATTTTCTGTTATACAATCTTATATTTCATTAGACTAAAGGAGGCAACTGTTTCTGACCTGTAATAAGAGATTTCTTAGAAGTTTTTCCAACATCTAAGGAAACTAAAATCCAAAAACATTAAGAGTTTTAAACTGAAATTCACCTCAACTACATTAAGACATTATATACTTTAATTAATATTTGTTTTACAGTCCGGAAATATAAACAGATGATCACTATCAGGGAATATTCTAGATATAAATGTCCCAGAAATGAAAAACTCTATTATTTTTTCTATTCACCTAAAGACAGATCATGAAATTTAATGTTGAAATAGCCCAACAACAAACTTTAATGAAGAATCTCCAAGTCAAAAATTCTGGCTATCAAATGAGGATTCAGTTGATATTACTTCAGGCATCAACACTCTGGCTTCTCGCTTAACAAAGAATAGGAATTGAAGTTACATCTGCCACGCATATCTAGCACACCCACACATCCAATCAAGACTCCGTCCTAAAGACACTATCCAATACCAAATGCTGGCTGAGTGGAGCACAGAAACTCTTCACTGCTGACGGGAATGTAAACTGTACAGCCACTTTGCAAAACAATCTGGAAACTTCCTACAAAACTGCACATAGGCTTATCATAATATCAAGTAATTATGCTCCTAAGTATTTGCCCAAATGAGCTGAAATTGAAATTTATGTCCACACAAAATCCTACACATCAGTATTTATAGCTGCTTTATACATAACTGCCAACACTAGGAAGCAACCAAGATCTCCTTCAATAGATGAGTGGCTTAAACAAACTGTACTACATCCACATAACAGAATATCTCTCAGTAATAAAAAGAAATCAACTATCAAGCTATGAAAAGACACTGGGTAACCTTAAATACACACTGTTAAGTAAAAGAAGCCAGTCTAAAAATGTTACATATTACATGATTTCAACTATTATGCCATTCGGAATAAAGCAATACAATAGAGACGGTAAAAAGATGACAGCTGCCAGGGCTTCCAGAGGTGTGAAGGCAGGTGGGCAAGGGAACAGCGAACAGGTCAGGCATGGGGCATTTCTAGAGCAGAAAAACTATTCTACATGATACCACAGAGATGGACACATGACCTTACTAAACAATTGTGGAAATTCATAGAACAATGCAACACTATGAACTTGTTAATAATCCTGTATCAACATCAGTTCGTCAGTGTAACAAGAGTACCATACTTGGATACTGTATCAACATCAGTTGGTCAGTGTAACAAAAGCACCATACTCGGGCAAGCTGTTAGGAAGAAACTGGCACTTGGGCGAAGGAGGTAAAGGGAACTCTACTTTCTGAACAACTTGTCTGCAAACTCAAACTTCTCTGAAAAATAATGCCTATTCAGGAAAATAAGAACACCGCCTCATGAACTAGCTACTGACACGGATAATTTTGTGCAAACCTGTAAAACTACAAGGTTTAAATAATGTGAGAAGCCAAGACACAAATGCAACATTTCCCTTCAAACACATACATGGTGACATTTATCCTAACCGTGAAACAAAAAGCGACATCGACTGACACTGAGAAAAATAAAATCTGAAATGTTCTTACCTGTCCTGCGACTGCTCTTCATACATCCTCTCCTTCCCTTCTTTAAAGAGCCTTATTGCCCTTTTTGACTTTTTCATTAGACTATCAATGTAGATTTTAAAATATTCATTCTCACTGAGTTGGGCAAGTTTCTGGTTGTCATCATATTTACTCAATATAAGTCTCAAATGTTGATATGTATCAGGTAAAATATCAAGTATATATGGTGGGCTATTTTTCAGCTGGAGTTTGGGGTTTTGGCACAGTCTGACCTAAAAGAAACAAGGACAGAAATAAGACATTTTCATGTGAGCTGCAACACTTCCTTCCACAGAAAAACTGAAAAATTATCAAGCTGTGTACTATTTCTTTGCTTTCCATAATACAAATTTTGACTTTAAAACTATAATCACCAATCTACAAAGAATTAAATTCCCATCTGTTCTCACAACAAAATCCTATTTTCTTTAGCTCTCATTCAGCTTCTCTGGCAGACCTTTACTTTCAACCCCAAAGTTTTCATCTTCTCTTCAATATCCCATTGTTCACAGCTTAACAGAACCCCAACGTGCTACTTATTGTACATCACTAACAATCTCTTTTTTAAACAAAAATGAGGGCACAGGCCTCATCTGCGGGCTATCTGAATGTCTCACATCCAGACATTATTTTCCCAACTAAAGCTATTTGATAGATTTTATGTTTTGGTATACTGTTCCCAGACACTGAGGAGACTTAAAAGAGGTATGGTTTTAGTAACTGAATTATTAAGTAGTAAATGGGTGTTAGGTCAGAACAAGTCGTTTCCACCTCTTCACGTTACATCCCAGGCTTAGAAACACCTGCTACATGATGGTTCAGCCATTCCATCAGGTGTCACCCCACCACCGGGGCATTCAGGGCTGCGTGCAGAACTGAAAATACCTTCTGTTAGAACAAAAAAAGGCTGCAATTCTACTACTGCATTCACTGGTACACATCCATGTGATTTAGTCAAGAGTAAAAATTAACCCATCTCATTCGTACCCCTCCCACCACAGTATAAAGAGCCATCCAATTAAACATTCAAATGTAATCATTGGGAACTGAACGAGTGTGTACACAAAGATGCCCACTTTAACAAAAGGCAAAATGAACACCTACAGGCAGATTTACTGAGAATCTCGTGAACCATAAGTTTGAGGGTCCCTCAGGTACCTGGCCCCCTTCTAAAGCTTTCATCATAAATCTTTCTGCAAGGTTTTCAAGAGCTGGGTATTTTAAACACAGCTGGCTAAGATTTCTGTCTTTTTCCCAGTGTGACATCCCTTCTGCCAAACCGAGCCTTCTATTCAGTGGCACTGAAGTGGTGGGGACATGTCTGAAGTCTGGCTAATGCAAATTTGGGTTGAAGATACATTTAGTTAAACTTTAACAGGAAGTGAATGTAAAGAACACAGTCACTTCTGAAGCCAGTTAAACCGCTGCCAAGCAGCTGTGATGAAAGAACGGCTTCAGGAGCATCCCAAGCGTCTGTCATGCTGACCAGCCCAGCACAGGAGCAGAAAGGCCACGTCCAAACTCCCTGGTACCCGGGCCTGGTGGCATGTGTGAGCAAACTAAGAGACCCAAAGCATAAAGTGTACAGAGCCTAGATTATTTCTCTGATGTCTGTGGACTTAACTTTTTTAAAATTTGTAACTTGTGACTTTTTATTGTTCTAAAAAGATACACTGTCATACCCAATTTTGTAGGTTTTTTTTCTCTTTAAAAGGACCACTCTACATTTCAGGTTCCACAAAACATGGATGCACTTTTGGGTACTCATAAAAGTGCTGGGACTAAATGTAAAGGAGTTGAACAATAATATTTTCAAGAACTACAAACACAATGAATCAAGGAAACAACAAATGAAGACAACTCTCTTAAACTTACTTTCTCAATTGCTTCTTTGAGAAATAACCATATCATCTTTTGTGAGGAGAAAAATCTGACTCAAACTATCAAGCATCAGCCCCTAATACAAACATTTCTCACATCAACAATGGGCATTTTATCTCCCTCCTTTTTGTATACAGTGCCTAAAATCATTATCCAGCTATCAGTCATCTCAGTCGCTCAGCCGTGTCCGACTCTGTGTGACCCCACGGACTGCAGCAAGCCAGCGTTCCCTGTCCATCACCAACTTCTGTAGCTTGTTCAAACTCATGTCCATCAAGTCGGTGATGCCATCCCACTATGTCATCCTCCATCGTCCCCTTCTCCAGCATATAGTACAGAACTAATAAATGGATCTATAGATGGTTGGTTGATTTGATTCTGAAATTCTTTATACACATTTTTACACACAAATATTATATTACTTTCTCATTTTTATGACTGAATTATACATAATTGGTTTTTTTCCCCCCTAAAGACTGATGAAGTCTCAAATATATCAATGACTTAACAAATCCTGGTTAAATCAAAAACGTGTCTCAATTCTTAAAACTAAAAGATAGTACCACAAATATACACAAATTTCAGAAGTATCACCAACATCCTACAACAGGTAATTTAATTTTAGCAACATAAAACTTGGTACAACATGTCACCAGACTGATAAATTATTAACCTGCAGTTAGGGGACCAGGTAGTTTTAAATTCATTTCCTCTAACTGGTGAATTTTTTAACTGATAAATAAAAAAATTCTCTCAGGTATTTTTTTCAGACATTACAAATTACTGTAGTTTAATAGATTCTTTTAGACATTACAAATTTTTAATTTCCTATTTGCTACCTGAACTTATTTCTCATTTGCTTTATTTAAACTGCAATTCCATCTGAGAATTGACTGTTTTATCCAGTAAAATTGTTTGAATAACTACTATATACCAGGTACTGAGCTCGGTGCCAGGAAATTATAGATGCCTAGAGCATACTTCCTGCCTTAAGGAGTCTGGCAGAAGAGACCTAGTTCTCTATAATTAACTTAGGAGCAATGTAATTCTTGCTCCAAGGGATCTTAGTAAAGATCCTGTCCAATCCATTCATTTTCAGATAAAGAAACTAAGAACCACAAAGATTAAGGGACTATTAAAAAATCATTAATCCAACACAAGAGTCTGCATCTTATGAATCTCAGACTGGTCTTTTTTTAACTATATCACAATTTAATTAGAATTGGGCACATAATTAATGATCCCTGGCTAAACTCATTTACATTTTTATTTTATTCCATTTGTGAATTTACATGAACTTCAGGACCCATTTGTTAATTCTACAATCACTGGTGCATCAGGCATTGTTTCCGGCCCCAGGGAATACAGCAAGGAATAAATCAAAGACCTGTCCTCAAGGAGTTTTCTAGTGAAAAAAAAATCAGTGGCTTGAAAAAGCACGACAGGAAAACGGAAGCGCTGTGAGGGAGGAGGGCACAATGCGCTAGAGGGGGAATGAAGCAGACAGGCCCAGGCGGCAGGACCACAGAAAGCACACCTACGTTTGCAGAAGGAATATTCCAGGCAAAGCGATGTGCAAACGCGCGAGAGGCCCCAGAGAGCAGGGTGTGTGCAAGGAGCCAATGCAAGTTCTCTAAAAGGTGGACGCGAGGAAGCCCGTGCCGAGTGGAATGAGGAGCTCTGAAATGGGCTGGAGTCAGTTCAGCCCTTGTGGGCCACACGGTTTTCTAAATCTGCACTTGGGCACGCGCAACATAAAATGCTCAACTACTTCTGTAAACCGCTGAGTATGCAGTTCATCAGCTGGATTAGTCTTAAACTCTGTGATTTATGACAGCTCCTGCAGAAAATGAATAACCTTTTGCCAGGACTACTTCTTCTAAGCAGGTCAAATTCAATTCAATTCAATAAATATTTATTGAGTGCCTGCTATGTGCAAGGAACTGCGAAAGCCAGGGAGAGAAAAAATGCTTTTGTAACAACAGTATTTTAAGGAGAAAAACCAAGCTCACCACAAGGTTCAAGTTCAGATTCAAATTACTTAGATGGCTTCTAGAACTAAGCTGCTCCCTAGAATGACAGCAGGTCCCAACACAGAACTTTCACAGAGAACAAATCTTCAGGCACATTACACAATGATGGACTTTTAAGGCACCAACTGGTACATAGAAGGATTGGTTCATTACTCTCTGCTTTTGAACTGAAAGGTAAAACATTCAGTGTTGGAATTGGGCTAAAAATTCCATTATAGTCAGTGACTCAAAGGGTTTTAAAGAAGACTTTGGAGATCACCAAGACCAACTCCTTCCTTGTGACATGACAAGACTTAAACACAAAAATGGAACTTAGTGGAGTTTACTGCTCAGAACCCCGCTTTCTGAACTTACAAGTGATGCACTTTCTCCCTAAAGGCAGACACCTGCCTGATGTAATTCTTGAAATGTATTTAAAGATTTTTAAGTAGACCTCTCTGTATATGTCTATACATTTTATATATATTATACACACTGTGTATTTCAATAAATACATGAATATGTATTCAGATAAATAAAATATGTATTCAAACATATCAATGCTAAGGCATAAATGTAAACACAGGAGTTACTAGTGCCATAAGAATTCTCAAAGCCGTTAATTATTTTTGGAACATTCTCGCATTTAAACAGTTTCCTGACTGTGCTTTAATTAAAATTTCTAGCCAAAAGCTAACAAAGAAGTGTTAGGTCAGCTAACATATTTCCTGCAAACAAGATTCAAACCAGCCCCTGATATCTATGAAAGAAATTTTACTGAAGCAAATGGAAACTTCAACAGTAAGGAACTGGGTGCATACCACAGCAGACGTTCATTATAAAACACACCTCACTTCATGGAGCACTCAGGTGTATTAAATCAAGTATTATACCTTCAAAGTGAAATATCCCATTTTTCAAAGACAGTATGGGAAGTCTGAAAGAAACCCTTATTTGTGCTTCCCAGGTAACTAACTGCTCTAAGAGATTCCTGATTGCAGTTACTTAAAAGTATGTTGTTAGGATAAAAAGTATCCATGAGTTCTTTGGATTCTTTACATTATATTTCAGCAAATCACCACTAAGTATATAGAAGTATAAGAACCTGTATAGCATAAAATGTAAAAAATATAAAAATAAAACAGAACTCTTTCAATATAGAGTTATCAACTGGGCAAAACCAGAAGGTTAGCATATAACTGGTTATGAATCTGGAAGTTACTCATAGTAGGATCTGGGGAAACCACCGATTTTTTTTATGGTTTTCAAAGTTTTCTTTAGAAGACTAACATATTAAAAAGCACCATTAAATAATTGCCTAGCTGTATTCAGAAGTCAAT